CATATCTTCAATAGAATTAACATATTTTTGGTACACATTCACGAAAAATTTACCTTCTCAAGATAAATAAAAATCATAAAAGGACCTTAATGCTTCAGTATTATTTTTTAACTCTAATAAGGGCTTGTGTGTTATAGGCATTGCTGACATTTAAGGGATGTCAACCTTTGGTGATTTGGTATTTGGGTACAAACCTTAAAATGGAGACCCCATTGGTTGGTTGTACTAGCAGGTAGGTGATGTAGCACAGCAATTACATCAAACATATGAAGGGGCCAATTACAAGAGCCCAGTAAGTTGTTAAAGAAAGAGCCCAATTAAGACCCATTATAAGAGCCTACTCATAAAGAAAGAATAAGATTATAATTTTAATATTTAAATTTCAAAATTAGCATTTAGAAGGTTTGACTTTTCTTGGGAAACATGTACGGGTTAACTATTTAATGGAGACCAGATGAATTAATGAAAGGATTTGTCATCTTCCTCAATTAATGACCACCTATTCCTTTTTCCTTTCAAAATTTCTTTCTTATTTTTGAATTATGGTTGTCATTGTAACTCTATAAATAGTGTTGGTATGTAATAAAAAATTTTAGCTTTTGAATGGGGAAAAAATTGAAAAAAATTATTCTCTTTTTATTAGTGCTTGGTGGCCTATCATGACCAATTTTGGTGGAATTGGTTAGTTATCTTTTTTATTCTTATTGTTATTCTTGTTAAATATTTATATCATCATTCTCTACTCGCTAACTAGGATAGAAACTTGGAATATAGGTTCCCTTACAGGAAAATTAATGGAATTAATGAATATTATGATTCATAGGAAGTTAAATATTTTGTGCATTCAAGAAACTAAATGGGTTGGAGAGAAGGCTAAGGAAATTGATAGTTTATGATTTAAACTTTGGTATTCGGGTATGAGTCATACTAGAAATGATATAGATGTTATTATAGATAAGAGTTTAATGGATAATGTTATAAAAATTAATAGGATTGGAGATAGAATTATAGTTTTAAAGCTTGTTGTTGATGATATGATTGTTAATATTATAAGTGCTTATGCTCCTCATGTAGGTTTGGATATGAGTTTTAAATTAAATTTTTGGAATGACTTAGAAGAATTAATACAAAAGATACCTCTTGAAGAAAGAGTTTTTATTGGAGGAGATTTAAATGGACATGTTGGTAGAGAGGTAGATGATTTTAAAAGCATTCATGGTGGCCATTGATTTGGAACGACGAATGAAGGTGGCAAGACCATATTGAATTTTTGTTTAGCTTATGATTTTTCAATTGCTAATACCTTATTTAAGAAAAGGAATGATCATCTCATCACTTATAAAAATGGATATAGTACAACCCAGATTGACTATTTTTTATTAGAAAATTAAATCGTTCATATTGCAAAGATTGTAAAGTTATTCCGAGTGAAAATTTATGTACCTAACATCGATTATTAGTTTTGGACTTTAAGATAAAGGGACATAAAATAAAAAAAATAAAGTAAAACGATTTTCTAGGATTAGATGGGGGCATTTAAAGAATATTAACAAAAATATTTTTGAGAATAAGATTTTAGATCTTAAGATTTTGTCTGTGCATGAGGATGCTAATGTTATATGGGAAAAAGTGGCTAGTGATATTAAGAATATTGCAAAAGATGTCCTTGGAGTATCAAAGGGAAAAACTCCTAATAGTAAACATAGTTGGTGGTGGAATCCAAATGTGCAAGAAAAGATTAAAAATAAGAAGTTTTGTTATACAAATTTGTTTAATTTTAAAAATTCTGATAATTGGAAAATATATAAAGTGGCTCATAAGGATGCTAAGAAAATAATATGCGATGCAAAGACATTAGCTAATTTAAGACACCTAATTTGCATTTAATTTTTAAAAAATCGGATGTTTTTTGGGCTCGTGTCGTGTCGGATACGTGTATAACACTAAATGTCTTTTTGAGGAGAAGTGTCAGTGCATCATATGTCACCACTCTTCTCTATTGATCCTTGTTGTTATTCAAGGAAGAGGGGGGCTTTGTCAGCATTTTAGGCTATGTGGGATTATAGTACTCTACTAGAAGTGTAGTTGGGGTGCCATTTGAAGTTGGAACTATGAAGCAAATCCATTTATTAAATGGTTGTGGCATAAATCCCGACAGAATCTATTTGAGTTATGGCATGCATGACTCCAATGTATATCTATGAGATGTAACCATGTATCCAACTCATGTATTTATGTGCTTAAACTTCTCTTTTAAATTATGAGGAGTCCAATATTTCTCTCGATTTATAGGGTGGGAATTTTCATTTAAAGTGGGACTTTTCAACCCATATTTACTCTCGAGATGCCATCATGAATCTCTTAGTGATATTATAAATTTAGTCAACCTATTAGGACTTATTACTCAATTTAATGTTTTTGTTGATCAATTCAAGGTATGCAAAAAATGAGCCCATATAAAAAAATTGAGAAGTCATTAGGTATATTTTTAGCTTGAGAAAATGACCAAAATGGTCCCCAACTATTTTGAGGGACCAATTTGGTCTCCCTCAACTCTTTAAAGTGGGACCATTTTGATCCTGTCGTTAAAAAATTACGAAAAATTTGAATGACAGAAGAATGCCGCGAGGCGGAATTAAAAAAACAATAATATGGTGTTGAAATAACAATTCATTCATTCTTCGAACCTCCAACAGGAGAGCATCAAATGCTAGCAACCAAAACCCTTCTTCGAACAAGAGAATGATAATTACCTTCACTGCGAGCGAGTTCCTATCGCTATGTCCGATCCAATAGGAAGAACGACTAACTTTCGTGACTTCCAATTCGACAGGAAGGATCATCGTCGAAGGAGGCGGAGAAGGCTTTAGCGACTTATTCAAAACCCTACCTCGTGCGAAGCATGCAAAGTTCAACAACAATGAAGAATGCGGAAGAGAAGAAAGAGGGGCTAGTTGTCTGTAATTAATTAGGAATTAATTTATGTAATTTAATTGATATAAATTAAAAAAATTAATTAGATAATTAATAATTGTAAACAATAATTAAATAATTAATATGATACTTAATATTCTAAATAATAGTTAGATAATTATTCAAAATAATAATAGTAGTTATGTAATTATTTAAGTTATTAATATTTATAGTAGTATTTAGATAATTAAGTTAGTTAATATCACTAAGATATTATTAATTACTGGAAAATTATATCTAATAAATAGTTTAATTAAAAAATAATTAAAATACTCTTTTTTTAACATCATTAAGTCCAACATCTATTAGTTTGGATGTTAGGACCAAAATTGTCTCATTTTAAAGAGTTAAAAGATCAAATTGATCACTTAAAATAGTTGGGGATCATTTTGGTCCCTCCGAAAGAGTTAAAGAGACCATTTTGATCCTTTTCTCTTTGTAGTTTTAAGAAGTCCCAAAGTTATATTTGCAATTTTGAATTTGTTTCGTCTAGGTGACATGGCTTGCTTCAAAAGGCAATGCTTAGCACTTTCTTATTCTTTGTTCACATGGCACACCTTAGATCTAACATTGTTATCTGGGTTATTGTGGTGACACTCAAAAATGTATAGTCCACATTTTGCATATATGGATGTCGCATGTAGCACTTATAGGTCTTGGTTTACTAAAGTGCTACAGCGCATGGACTGGATATAGGCTCCATGTAGCTAGTTCCTGGTGGGTCCTTAGTTTCAGTTGCATGACTCATGGATTTTCTATGAACGGACTTCATAAGAGTACGGATGCAATCCTTGGGATGATGTAGCATATTGGAATAGTTAGTGATGAAGTTTAAGAAAAAAAAAGTTAGTGATGAAGAGTTGGATGCTGGTCAAGCTGGCAATGACGAGCTTTTTGTAGGCAAGGTAGCACCTTGAATTGTGTTGCCTCTGATTTCTTCCTGTTGAGGAAGGAGCTCAACACGAATAAGGGTTGGTTCTGGCCTTCTAAGATGCTCAGGTATGGAGTTCTTAATTGTTGTCTTCCCAAACTTTTCATATAAAACATTATAAAGAGGGGATTTGGTTAATTAGGTAATCTATTTTTGCGTAATTAGGTACTTAATTTGCATAATCATCCTTCTAATTACTTAGTTAATACATAATTAATCCAGTTCAATTAATTTGACATCAATTTTATCATTTTCAATGCCAGTACTAACAGAATCAGTTGGTAGTTTACCAAATTTGAACGTTCCAAGCAGATGGATAGGAAATATGGCAAGTCTTGTATTTCAATGTAAACGTAGTAAAAGTAATGATTGCTATATTAGTAGCGGTGGACATAGTATTAAGTTAGCTTAATTCCGAGTTCTTGGTGGGGTAGATTTTTTAACTGTTAGAATTTATGAAGCTTTTATCGATCACATGCAATTGCCTTAAAATTAAAGTCCGCTTAGCTACATATAGCCTTTTTTCAGAAGTTTTTTTAATTTTAAATATTCACGTAACAAGTTCTGATTTTTGTTGCAGTCATTTTAGTAAAATGGACAATTTAATCAAAATTATGATCATTATTGTTAGCTTTTCTCCAACTATATGTGTTAGTTTTATGGACATCATTCGGTTTTGTCGGGTTCTATGAAGTGCTGATTCTATTTTACATAATTGTTTTGCTCAATTACTAATCCTATACCATTGGGTGACCTCTTTTCCTTCCATTTTGGAAAACATTATTAAGGGATATAACACATCCCACGTATATTGAGTGGCACTAGAATGTGCTGTTCAAAAAAGTAAACTTGCAAAGCTCAAACCATTGTCCGTTTGATGTGCCACAAAGTTCCACGTTGACAGCTCATTTGAATTAGACAAGGGCCATTTGATGGAAGCCGTGCAATTTTTATGAACTACTTTTTCTGAAGCTATCTCAATGATGGATGTTTTTCTTACTTTTCTGGTTGTATTGTTCATTATCATTAAACTTATACGGGTTTGATTTTTTTTTTTTTACTCCGAGCTTATTAGTAGATGGCATGACTTTTGCAGGTGAAAAATATGAACTTGCCAGAAAAGTTAATATAAAGCTTGTCAATCATCTTTGGCTGGAGGATTGGTATGTCTACTAAGTTAGGTCCATCTTTTGAATATACTTATGATTGTCAGTTTTAAGTGCATTTTCTAAGTTGCCTGAAAACATTTGCATAATTTTCTCATTGATTCTTTCATTACAGCCTGAATGCTTGGGAGATCCTGCCAGTTGATAGCTATAACAAAAGGTTAGTGAACACAATAAATTTTGAAATTACTCGAAGTTGATTATGTATAATTTTATAATTGATGTCTTTCTATTGTCTTTGCTTTGTTTAACAGAAATGGTTTGCACTTTGATATTTTCTCAACATTTCTCTAATGTTGGTTACTGTTGCTTTCTGTTAACCTCTACGCATTAACCCAGCAAAAAAAATCAAATTAAAATACTTGTGAAACCGCTGGATCCTCGAATCATGCCGAGATCGCGTCGATTCGGCGCCGTTCGCATCACTTCCCTGCAAACCCGGCGCAAATCCTGCTCAAAACCAGCGATCTCGCCTCGACCGTGCTCCATCTTCGCCTCTATAAAACGAAGCCGAACACGTTTGTGCTACTCATTGAAACCATAGAATTTATAGGCTTTGGCTGCGTGTATTTATCATCCATGTTGTGATATGATTATGGAAAATTCGTTTTTAGTGATTTGAGCATGTATAATGAAATCTAGAAGATGTACAAAATATGTAGGTAGAAATAATGTTAGAGTATAGGAAAAAAAAAGGGAGATAAAGTTAACATCTCGTATAAAGATTTATTAGAATGGAGGAAGATTCATATAATTGGAATGGATTTCACTTCATCATCTTGTGCGTGGCAAATTTTTTTTATTTTTCTTGCGTAGAGTATGTTTTAAAATTGCGCAATAAGAGGCGCGCCTCAGCGTAATTTTAAACTTTTAAGCCTCAACAGCTACACAATGAGAGCAGGCATTGAGGCGTACGCCTCAAGTTCACTGAGGCACGCTCGCCTCATGTTTTAGAGGCGTCCGCCTCTTAAAATTAAAAAAAAAATGTCTCGGTACCGCTAGGTACATGCTTGGTCGAACCCCGTCGGGGGTAGCACCCCCTTGGACACCTGGCTACCTGGCATATTGTTGTATTCATCATCTTTAGTAATAGTTGTTAGTGTTAGTCTGCTTTTTCATGAGTGCATGCTTTGTATAAGTTTTTTTCATGAGTGTTTGCTTTGATTGGGAGATATTAGACTCTATAGGAGAGGAGGAAGGGGAGAGAGCAATTCATCATAATGATGATTCAAATGAAGAATTTCATATTGTCAGATTATTGATGCGCTCCATTCTTACCTTGAACATTTGGATTCATAAATTTGTTTAGGAGGGCAACTGTAATTGCTCAAATTCTTATGTTTCAAATTTTGTTTGCAAGCGCTGCGGCGCTGGGGTTGGCAGAGCCCTGATATTGAACTCAGCATGCAGTGTCCGTAGACAAAGAAAAATATGGAGATAAGCATTTGTAGCATTTCATAAGCTGAAGCCTCCATTGCTTAAAGGAGTTGAGGACCTCAGGCCACAGAAGATTGGTTACTGAGCATAGAAAAGATCTTTAATAGCATGTAATGTTTGGAGAGACGGAAGGTACCATTGGTTGTGTTCCTATTTGAAGGAGAGGTTGAGAGATGTGGGTTGGGCAGTAGGAGAGAAATTTCAAGGGAAAATAAATACTGAGATCACTTGGGACGAGTTCACTATAGTATTCAGGATGTGGTTTGTACCTCCATCAACCTGACGATAGATGTAGGAAGCTTTCATTAAGTTGGAATAAGGACACAAGACAATGATGCAGTATGAGGTCGAGTTTACTGCCCTTGCTAGGTATGCTTCTCACTTGATCCCTACTGTTGAGGAAAAGTATTATAAGTTTTTGCAAGGGTTGAATAAGGAGTTTAGACATCCACTAGTACCTCTACGAATTCAAGAGTTTTCTGAGTTGGAGTGGGCTAGATTGATAGAGATTGATTTGACAACACCAACATTTAGATATGAGATGGACTCCAGATATGATGTCAATAAGAGTAGAGATTAACTAAGTAGAGAGAGATAATGACAAGAAAAACAGGTATAGTGATTCGAGGGGATCTACATCAGAACATCTTCTGGCAGCTATAACGAGTGCATTTATTGCGATTTACAACATACAGGTTAGTGTTACTTGTTGACGGGGCGACGTTTTCACTGTGGACAGTAGGGACATAAGGTAGTAGACTGTCCTCAAAGGGGATTTGAAGGAAGAACTGATTCTGGTGCAGGATAGTTCAGACATACTATATGACAGAGGCTGTAAGGTCAAGAGTGTATAGTGAAAGATCAACCAACAGGATGAATGACAGAGGGAGACTGTTGCACCACGACCAACTGCACCTACTCCAATTATGCCATGTGTGTACAAATTATAGTATCAGAAGATCAACAACAACTAGGAAGATCTACTGGTAAAAATTTATTTGAATGATTGTATGACATAGCATATCATACATAATTGAATGACATGTGATATAATGAATTGCATGACTGTATGATTTCTTGATGAGTTTTGTTTTGCGATTTAATCGTACAAATTTTGTTTATATTGATTTTGCGCCCGAATTCTTAAGGAAAATGTCAGGGACAACATTTTCGTAAGGTGGATAGATTGTAATATAGCCTATATGTTGACTTTGTCAAATTTTTGGAGTCAATATAAGTCCAAATCATAAACTCGTCTTAGCCTTAGCATTGATATTGTAGTATTTTAATTAAACGATTTTTTTATAATTTTTGGGCAATGGTGAAAATTCTTAAGAAATTTGTGTCTGTCGGTACAAGTGGAGATTTTGGGACCGTTAGGTGTCAATTTTGTAAACTGATTTCATAAAAATATTTTCTAAATAAAATGATTTATTTTATAGATATTTTTTATAAATTTTAAAGCCCAAAATGATTTATATGAATTTTATATTGAAAAATTGATTAAATTAAATAGTATATTAAATAACTATATTATATTATATGAAAATATCTTAAAGCACTAATATATTCCATTAAAAGCCATTTATTCTTCTTAAGCATTCGACTAATAGAGAATGGTTTGAGAAAAATGTGAGAAAAAGAGGGGAGATAAATGAGAAACTCAGATTTGGAGGTCGTGGAGTGATTTTTGTTCGTCGATCTTATTGGGAGATTTGGTCGTCTCGTTATAAAGAATTATTACCCAATTTCTAATTTCAAAGATTTTGTATTAGTATTTCATTTTGTTTTGGTAAATTTTCATTGTATAACTTTTTATATGCTATAGAGATTGAGATTATGAATATTTTGAGTATTTATTTAAAATTTTTTACCGGGTGATTTGAAAAATACAGCATTTTTTGTCCACTTAGAAATTTATTTTGACGTCTAAAAATAATGATTTAGTTCAACTAAAGTTTTAGAATTTTATTTTATACAATATTTGGTAATTTGGTTAAATTCAAAAAATTTGAGTTTTTGTTCAGTATAATTTTTGTTGTCTACTATTAGGACATTTTGATATTTTTTGAATTAAGCTCAATTATGTTTTATTTACTGCAATGCATTGAAAATGAATGTGTATATGTTATTGAGTACTAGTTGGTTGTTATTATTGTTATAGGACTGTGATAATAATGTTTATGTAAAAGACAAGTAGAGACTGGTTGACATATTAGTTGAAGATTGATTGACCTGTACAAAATAGTGGGCCGACAAGCTTTCCTTTAAATATTGTGGTTTGGTGTTATTTTCAACTGATTCACATGATACACTGATTGGGAGTTAAGGAGATGATTATTATGCTGACGGGCAAAGAGTGATGACTCTATTTACTTATCCAACAATTTAATGATACTAATACGATATTGAAAAATACTGTGATATCCATGATTTCTTACTTGTTTAGTGTGGCTACTGAAATGCATGTTATTGAGGTTTTTTTAAATTATTTTATTGAGACATTGTTCATATTATTGTACGGATTTATTATTAACATTGTTATTGATTTATTGATACAAAAAACTTGATATATTCATTGAGCTCGTGATATACATGATATACTGAGCATGTGTTTAAGATATTAATTTAATACTGATATAGAATAATTGGATAACATGTGCGCACTCATATATGATTTTACTACGTTGAATCAATTTCGACAGTCTTTATTGATGATTTGATTTTTTTTGCTTTATATGATTTCTCTATTAATTATATATTGATATGATGATTGCTTTAGTGATTTGACACTCGTATTGATTTACTATATTTCATACCTTATAATTTTACTATTTTTGCACCGAGTCAATGATAATATGAATGAAACTATTATGATTTGATTGTTGACATGCATATTGCTCATTTGTCTTGTTTTGAGTTCAGTTGCAGGTTTTGATGACTGCTGAACTTTTTAAACTCATTATATGTGGTTAAATATTTTCAGGTTAGGGCAGAGGATTAGGAGTGTTAGGCTGGTCAGGATTTTTCAGGTTATATATTTTTTAATTATTATTTTGTATTAAGGACAGAGTAGTTATGACATGATTGTATAGATTTTAAATAGTGTATATTATTTTTGGGATTTGAATACAGATATATATATTGATGTTTTGATTGATAGTTTTATTTATGCTGCTATTGATATTAAAAAAAATTTATAGCTATGGTTGTATAAATTAAAACATAAAATAATAACTCCTTCAAATTAGATTATGAAGCATCACACTTACCTTTATCCCCCACAACCGAGAATAAAATACCTAAAATTGTTTATCTTTAATCGAGAGTTCTATCTTATGTAGTAAGAGGTACTTAACTATGAGGGATTGCGCTTATAGGAAGGACCTATATCTAACTAATCCTTGATATTACCCTCAGGAGAAGCCTGGTTAACAATAATCTGCTTTAAGGAGAATTGAATCCTAAGTTTGTAAAGTGGGATTCATGCCTACGAGCCATTTTTCTTGAGCAAAAACCTTTGGATGTTCTAATCATCCTATAGTCCATATTTCTGATTAAGTAATTCATAGACTTTCATTGATCAGACTCCATTTTCCCATTGAATACTTAAGTCTTCCTTCCTAGCCAGCGGTAAGTTATGGTCTCACGCTCTTTCACTGCATTAATCAGTTTTTCTAATTAGAAAAGGCTATAGAACATGCCTTCATCATCGTCCATCATCTAGTAGTGTACTATTCTGCTTTTGTGGAAGTTAAGATTATATTTACGATGTAGAGTATGCATTCTTTAGATGAAAAAGGCTTTTTGTTTTCTTTCTTTGAATTTTTTTTTTCTTGCCTTGTCCTGTTGATGTTTCTGCATTGTTTATCAAACGACTACCTGCATTAATTATAAAGCTACACCTTTTTTAGCAATTTCAACGTTCCTCTCATTTTCCATGATATAATTCTGATCCCGTTTTAATTGTTTCACAACAGTGGCTGGGAGTTAGAGATGCTTGAGGCTGAGGCTATGGATTCTGAAGAAGAAGCTGAGGATGCCGGCAGAAAGGGTGCTGAGCAGAGAAGTATTGCAGAATCTCATAGTGTACTAGGTGAAATGCCAGTTACGGTCAGCTCTGGTTCTTTGGTGGACGCTAGAAACCATGTTCCGAAGAAAAATATTTCAAATGCAAAGTCATCTGATTTTTCTGTTAATAATCAGTTGATTTCTGCGCTACACAAAGAGAACTGTTCTGGAAAAGCTGCTGATATTTGTGATGTCAAGAGCAATGTACTTGAAGTAAATCCTAGCTTTGCTGAACAACTTCCAGGTAATCATGTTATGGGTATCATCAATAGCAAACAACCAAATACGCCAGATCTTGTAAGCATGAAGTGGAATGGTTTAAACTCCAATGTAAGGAACGGTCTGGTGGGCATGACTTCCTGTGAAGAGGACTTGAAATTGGGCTCTCCATACCACTCTAGAAAAAACGCTGATAAAGTTGTTTTACCAAATGAACAGTTTAATAACATGCCCACTCCGTATAAAGGAAAACCCAAAGAAGGAAATAAAGAAGATGCTAACATTAGTTCTGCAGAATCGAAGGAAGAGGCTGCCAAGAAGTGCACATATGATAATTTTTATAGTTCGATGGCTGGTTTAAATAAGTCACATGTGGAAGGTCAAACAAATGGCTTGCCCAAGAAACGCAAACTTTTGGTTTCAAAGACAAGCTCAAAATCAACAATGTCAGATGAGGATTCAAGAACCTCTGACTTACTGGATGCACCAAAAAGTATTAATCCTGCAGAACTTGATTTCCTAAAGCCTCATCAACGAGAACTAGAAAATACACTTGCCCATAATGAAACAAGTACAAGCAGATGCCACAATGTAGAAGACAATGATGCATTTCATCAATCGGACAGGATCTCTGTTTCAAGTTCCTGCCTTAAGTCTCCAGAGTTGGCACAGCACGATTCAGGTACTTGTATCATACGGAGTCCTTCGACACGTATGAGGCCTAGACAAATTGAATCGATGAATGTACCGCACCATGAAATTGATCATGGTCTTACTCATACAGATGGTTTTGAAGGCACATTGTTTTTGCAACCCGGGGAATATCAGCATGTTTCATTGTCAAAATCCAGTTCCATAACATGCAAGAGGAAGTTTCTTAAACATTGGCAGTCAGCTTCGGTAGCTAATACATCCAGTAATTCCAGTTCAATATCGGATAAGAAGGATAAACTCTTGAGTGTTCCCTCTAAGCCAGCATTGGATGGGACAGTATGTACAACAGATGAACCTCTATCTGGGGTTGGAACTATCTATGGCATTACTTCTCCTAAAGCTACGATTCTTTCAGATTGTTCGCTAAATAATAAGACTGGGCAGGCTAAGGATAGAAGCATGGAAAAAGATCCCAGTTTCCTCAGGTCACCATTGACTGGTGATACTGGAAATGCAAATGAAGTTCCTATTAGCCTGAGAGTGCTTGAAGCACCATTGAAAAACATGAGAAAATCTGAAGCAGATGTTAAATCTCCAAATCTTGGCGGTGTTTCAATGAAAGGCGAGACTGATATTCACAATAAAGTACCAGAACAACATGAAAGACCAGGTGAGTACCAAGAGGCTTTTCCTTCTCAATTGAAGGATGCAAAGGTAAAAGATTCTGTCAGAACTGAGATTACTGGATCTCGCAAAAATGGCAAGGTGCTTGTTAGTCGCAATATGGGCTGCAAGCCTAAGCCAAGCAGAGAAAATTGTAAAACAAAAAGTTCTAGTGATTCACTCAGTGGCATTAAATCAAACAAGACGCTCATTAAATCAGGAAATGGCATTTTGGAATTGGGAGATGCAGACGATCTTAATGAAAAGGTTGAGAAGGAAGGTTTGCCTATGAAGGAGAAGGGAAAATTGGAGCAAAGTTCTCCACCTGGAAGCAAATCTAATGTTATTACACTGGATACAAATCACCTTGATCCAGGAAAGGAGAACGAGTTGAAGGATCGTTGTAATTTTTTTGTCAAAGAAGATGATGATTATGATCGAAAGCCGAAAAAAAAATTCAAATCAAACCTTAGTGCTAAACGTTCAAGTGGAGATAGTTCATTGCCAAAACCAAGCTGTTTGAATGCAGTGATTGCTAAGACTATGTGGTTTATATTAAGTGGCCATCAGACTCAGAGAAAAGAGTTCAAAAAAATAATAAATCGCCTCAGAGGAAGGATATGCAAGGATTCTCATAGTTGGGCATATGAAGCTACACATTTTATTGTACCAGATTATGTTCGGAGAACTCAAAAATTCTTTGCCGCTGCCGCAGCAGGAAGGTATGATTTAATCAACAAACTTGATATTTTTTTAATTATCTTATCTTAATAGTTTTGTCAGTTTGTTGGTTTCGTCAAAGTTCTTTTTTTAATCAACGTCATCATTTTTGGATTTTGACACAATTTCAGGGGATTGCTTGGGCTTATTTAAATCATTTTAGTTGAATTGAAGCCCAAGTACACCCAAATTGACCCAACTATCCCATAGATTTTCTTCCACCATCAATTAATTATTATGTATGCATGTATTGGTTGAAGTGATGGATTGATTGGGCTAGGGGTGTGAGTCAAGCCAATTTGTGAGCCGACTCTGAGCTAAACTTGATAAATGGCTCATGAGCCGAGCTCGATGTGCTAACAAACCAGCTTTTGTAAGGCTCGTTAGCTCTCAACAAGCTCATTTAAAAAATATTAATATAAAATGCACCTAAAATATATTAGCTTTTATGATTTTTAGTGAAAAATTGTTTAAAAAACTTAAAATTATATCTTATTTTATACTAATTAATTATTTATAATTTTATTTAAAATTTTCATTTTTATTATTTATTATAATAATTGTTTGTATCATAATCATTTTTCTCTTTCAAAATAAACGAGCCGGTTCAAACTCGTAAAATAAAACTTGAGCTCGAGCTCGATTAATTAATTAAGCTCAAGCTTAATTCGGGGGTGACTCAAGCTCAGCTCGACTCGTTTACACCCCTAAATTGGGCTTTAATCAATTTTTTCTTCTCTTAATCAATCCAACCTATTCTTAAGCTTACACCAAATCTTGATGTAAACTAGTTGATTTAGAGCCGCACATACCAACAAAGGCATAAAACCAACGACAAACCTAAAAGTAGAAATAATCGATAAGATTCAATCCATAAGTGAAATTCTTCATGAATACCCCGATGATTGTCATGTTGATAGAAAATCACAACCAGAGGGGTTAATTCCAAATATTTAAAATACCACCCAAATACTCATGAAAGTTCAAAATTCCAAAATTTAAAATATTTAGAATCGAAACTTAACTATCAAACACTTAAAGCAAAGTTCATCTACCTTCCGCACTAGTTTGTTGAGGTGGATAATTTTAAATATCACTTAATGTCACGTCTCGGCCCGGGGGCTCAAATTAATTAACGAGACAGGAACAAATGATCAGACGATAGATCAAATTTTCAATTTCTTTTAAATTATCTCAATAAATTATAAAGATCCACTAAAATTTTAAAAAATAAACTGATGCAAAAACATTTAAGTATCTTTCATTCGATGCGTCAAGTCTGCGATACACGTTTCCATCTCTTATATTCATTTTAATTATATTACTCACACTTGAAAATAATGTTAGAGCAACCAACAGTAAGCCATAATTTATTGAGTAAAACATGCTTCTAAGCTACAATAACTCAAGACAATTGGAACAATATGCATAATCCCTTTTTTATTTTATTTCATAAAATAATGACATTTAATTATATTATTTCCTTTTAAGACTTTCATTGCATAATTTTCAGTGTTAACAATAGATCATATATTTTATACATATCATATATGTATTCATATCTTTCTAATTTTTTATAAATAATACAACTATTACATGAGTCATTGTCTAATTTAGTTCCAATGAAAGGTACTTTTTTCCATTTCCTTGTTCCTTTTTCATAACCTTTTTTTTTTAACGTGCACGGGTACATTGTGTCCCCAGTCAGTACCATAAGAGGTGTGCTCCATCAGTTAGCATACACGTGCAAGCATATTATATCATATCATTCATTTACTTTCTATGAAAGTTTAAATTATGACATATTAATTTTTATTTGATTCAAAATGAAATTTTAAAATATATAAAGTGGCTCGTAAGGATGCTAAGAAAGCAATATGCGATGCAAAGGCATTAGCTTTTAGTGATTTATATAATAGATTAGATACTAAAGCAGGAGAAAGATATATGTATAAGTTAGCCAAACAAAGAGATAAAAGTAGTAAGGATTTAGTTCAAGTGAAATGTATTAAAGATGAAGATCAAAAAATACTTTTCTTAGAAGATGATATTCAACAAAGATGAATGAGATATTTTGCTAAACTTTTTAATGAAGATTGTGAAAATAAGATTGACTATAGTGACCTTAGCACCCTAAATGAAAAAAAAAGATTTCTGTTTTTATCGGCGTATTAGTAAAACTGAAGTTAGAGAGACTTTAAAGAAAATGAAGGGTGGAAAAGCTGTTGGACCTGATGATATCCCAATAGAGGTGTGGAAATGCTTAGGAGATGAAGGAATTTCATGGCTTACTAAACTTTTTAATACTATTTTGAAGACTAAGAAGATGCCAGATAAGTGGAGAATGAGTGTGTTAATTCCTATTTTTAAGAATAAAGGTGATGCACAAGATTGTGCGAATTATAGAGGTATTAAGTTAATGTGTCATACTTTAAAACTATGGGAGCGAGTTATGGAGCATAGGTTGCGGCGTGATACTAATGTTTCTCAAAATCAATTTGGATTCATGCCGGGTAGGTCGACTATGGAAGCCATACATTTATTAAGAGGTTTGATGGAGAAATATAGAGAAAATAAGGAGGATCTACATATGATATTTATTGATTTAGAAAAAAGCATATGATAAAGTTCCAAGAGAAGTGCTATGGAGAGTTCTTGAAAAGAAAGGAGTCAATAATGCTTATATTCAAATCATTAAAGATATGTATGCAGGAGCTATTACTTGTGTTCAAACACAAGGTGGATTGACCAAGTATTTCCCTATTTCGGTTGGGTTACATCAAGGATCAGCCTTAAGCCCATATCTTTTTGCTTTAGTCATGGATGTTCTCACTAGACATTTGCAAGAGGATGTACCTTGGTGTATGCTTTTTGCTGATGATATTCTTCTTGTTGATAAGACTAGAGAGGGAGTTGAAGGTAAACTTGAATTATGGAGGTCAACCTTAGAGTCTAAAGGTTTTCGCTTGAGTAGATCTAAAACAGAATATATGGAGTGTAATTTTAGTAGTAATAGACCTAGTGAAGGGATTGTGACTTTGGGCGATCAAGTCATTAATAAGAGTACACGTTTTAGATATCTTGAATCTATTGTTCAGAGTGATGGTGAAATAGATGGGGATATTATCAACAGAATTCAAGTTGGATGGTTGAAGTGGAGGAATGCATCGGGCTTGTTATGTGATAGAAATGTACCCCTCAAACTTAAGGGAAAATTCTATAAGATGATAGTGAGGCCTGCAATGCTTTATGGTGTCGAATGTTGGCCATTAAAAGAGAAGCATAATACTAAGTTAAGTGTGGCAGAGATGAGGATGCTCAGGTGGATGAGTGGCTTTACCCTTAGAGATAGGATACGAAATGAGCATATACGTGAAAAGGTTGGAGTAGCTCCAGTAGAAGATAAAATTAGAGAGAGTCGCCTTAGATGGTTTGGTCACATAAAACGACGGCCTTTCGATGACCCGGTTAGGAGAATAGAGGTATTAGATTTGACTTATGTTAAGAAAGGTAGGGGTAGACCTAAAAAGACTTGGTTAGAAAATATTAGGAATGACCTTTCCTTATTAGATTTAAACGAGAATTTGACTTTTAATAGGACACAATGGAGAAAAAGGATTCATGTAGCCGACCCCACGTAGTAGGATAAAGGCTTGATGTTGTTGTTGTTCAAAATGATTAATCATTGAGTAGGAAAAAGAGATCTTAATTTGATTCCCAATAAATACTTAATAAGCAATAAACAAATATCAATATCTTTCAATGCATTTAATTTAAGAAAGAAACAAAAATATTACTGTAATTAAAAGACATGAATACTCACCTTGAACTTAAGAAATGCGCTCACTTTTACTCCGTACTTCGAGATCAAAAGATTAACACCTATAAAAGACTTCCAGTATTCTCTTCCAATTATGAAATCTTCCACTGTTGACATTAATATTTAATTTTATCATTTAGCACTTTACACTTTATAATTCCACAATAAATCCAAAACAAATAATTAAATTGATTTGACTAACATATTTAAGAACAATTTCAAATATATCATTTATCATAGCATTAAATGGCTCTAATTCATTCCAAAATTCCTATTAAATCAAACTAATTACCTCAACAAAACGTTACCTCCTTCCATCGTCGAACCAAATTTTATATCACTTGAATTCTTCCAACATAACAATCAAAATGTATTTCTTATCATTTTTTCAATTTGAGAAACGATAGGTGAAGATATACAACATCAACTAAATCACTTTTTCATAAGGGATTCCATATCCGAAATTCTTCTCCCCCTTTTTCCAGATTTTCTTCTCTTATCTTTAACTGAACATTCATCCTTGCTTAGATTTGAAATCATATGATGATTTGCACAGAAATAAAATTTTTTTGATGATTATACCTTCCTATTTCTTCCTCTCTATACTCTTCTTTCGATTTGCTTCCAGCAAAAAAGGAGTAAAATGAAGATATGACGCACGAGGAGTTGCTATATTTCTCCCCCATATGTGATGCTTCGCTCCAAACCGCGAATCAAACCCAGACGAAGTCTCCGCGCATGTGTGCGGTCTGCCGTGGTCTCGGCCCTGTTCGTTTGATTTTTGCCGGACCACCACCTGCCATCGGAGTTCTGCCAGACCACCACCTGATGCTGGAGTTCTGCCGGACCACTGCTCGACGCCGGAGTTCCACCGGACCACCGCCTGACGTTGGAGTTCTGCTGGACCAGCGCCCAACTCCGGAGTTCAGCTGGTTCAACTGTATTCTACCCAAACACTAATGGAATCGTTTCAACTGGGCGTGATTTTTCCCCGGGTTTTCCACATAAAAAATCTTGTGTTCTCTGTTTGTGTGTTGGATATTTGTACAACATTGAGATGTAAAATTCTGACTCTACTGTCGCGTATATTCTAGCCCGCAACAAGGTTCAAAATTCAAATGATGTGAAATGACACTGAAGTTCTTTATGTTGTCATTGTGTATCAATATAATCTTAAAATGATTCCAGTACTTAAGCAGGTATCCAATAACTACAAGTACCTGCTGCTCGTCTGTAAAGAGAAATTACTGCAGCTCTTAGATCATTAATTATGGCTGCCATCATCTTAAAACGTTTTACTATCCAGTGCATTGAAAGTATTTTATTTCTCAAATTTTAGTGTTAGTGTTAGCAAACTATTACTTGAGGTGTTCTTGAAACTACTTCTCAATCAGTTTTACATTTTATGTGTGGTGGTATATAGTTCTTAAATTTCCATATAAGATCATTGTGCATGCTGTGGAGCATCATAAAGCGCACAAACAGATCCTTTATTTTTCTATTCGGTTAAATTTCAAAATAGTGTCCCAATTATTTATATATAATCATTTTAGTCTCATAATATAATGTTGTTCCAATTTAGTCGCTCGATTATACAAAATTATTCCAAAATTATATTAAATTGGGGCTTTCCGAAAAGCTTGTCAACTCATGAGTGAACAAGATCTATCCGCATTTCCAACTCTAACCGTTGAGTCAAGTTGGTCAAGTTGAGTGTAGTCAAAGAAAAGAAGACAACATGGGAAGGAAGATCACTAATGCCAATTAATGCTAGTTTGACTTCATATTTTCCTGAAACCAAAGTTAACTCCAGTCAATATCTTAGTTATACCATCATGCATTTTTAGCTCCATTCACTTTGAAAAAGATCCATTGAAACCTTAAACTTATTCGATTTGAATTCATCTTGAAAAGGAATTAGATTAGGAAGCAAAGCAATTAAGCTTCTTTGGATTGTGAGTATCCGCATACAACCTGCTTTCTTCATCAGCACAACATTTGGCCATACCCAAAATAGATGATTTCAACATTCACTAATTGCACTGGAAATAATTCATAGATTGAATAAAATAAATAAACAAAGCTTAAATAAAGTGTCAAAAATTAATTTTAACTATATTTATAAATAATTATACGAAATAGTTATCAAGTGATATCATTAAGAAATATTTGTTTAAGTAGATAAATTGATTATTAAAATTGTATTTTCAAAAAATAAATAAAATTCTTTTCTCATTCTCATGATCCTATATTTTTTTCTCTAATTTTTTTGTTAAAATTTTCATCTACATACAAAGTTTAATATTTTATTTGTAGGTTAAACTTAAATCTGAATTTTTATTTGTATGCCCGTGGCACATTTCTTGTGCTTGCAATTTGGCTGTTGTGTCCCCTAGTTGCGGCTCTGTCACAATAGTTGTGCGCACAGCGTGAGGCTTGAGAAGAAAAAGATCATTGATTCTCGCTTGAGAATATCTATTATACCTGACATGCAAATCATCGAAATTTTTACTAGGTAACAGGTGATTACTAGTCGCTGCATGAATTCACTCCCTATTTCCTTTAGGCTTCTCGGATGATAACCAGGAGATGCGAATCAAATCTTTCATTTATTGATTGGTATTCATTCATTGAAATAGATTGTTTTTTGGGCAGGTAATTTCACACCTGTAATGTATATAGATTGTTTTTTTTTTTTTGTAATTTTGTCCTACCACTTATTTATTTGCTACGACATAAAAAATGCTGTCATATGCTTGCCATTCAATTTAAAATTCTAATATTTTGAGCTCTTTACAGATGGATTCTCAAGTCGGATTACTTGACTGCTTGTGGCGAAGCTGGCGCATTTCTAAACGAAGAACCTTTTGAATGGCACAAAAAAGGCCTTACTGAAGATGGCGCAATCAGCTTAGAAGCTCCACGAAAGTGGCGCACGTTGAGAGAAAGGACTGGCCATGGTGCTTTCCATGGCATGCGCATTATCATATACGGAGAATGCATTGCTCCCCCGCTGGTATTAATATTATCATTCTTTTGATTCTCTTCATTCTTCAATGGCCCGTTTCCTAATGTTTAGTTAGAACTTCTCCAACCGAACTCCAAACGCATGAATGGCATCGCTCGCGAGATCCAGCCAAACGGCAAAACTTCCGGTATTTGGTTGCCGGTGAACAGTGGGACATCAATATTGACGTTTCACTGTTCACCTTCGTTATTTTTGTCTCTATCGGATTTTGCCGAAGAAACACGCGAAGGAGAAAGACGGTTATCTGGGCGCAAAATGGAGTTCGATTGGAGAAGAATCACGTCATTTTTTTGTTACACTTCATTTTGGAATGAAAAATGAGATTTTCAGCTGGAAATGCCCCTACGTTAAATTTCAGGACACCCTGAAACGAGCGGTGAAAGCTGGAGACGGAACCATCCTAGCCACCTCCCCTCCTTACACCAAATTCCTCAAATCCAGCGTTGATTTTGCCATTGTGAATGCAAGTATGCCAATAGCTGACAAATGGGTTCAGGAGTTCTTGAGCCATGAGATCCCTTGTATCTTATCCGATTACCTGGTAGAATATGTATGCAAGCCCGGTTATTCTCTTGAGAAGCACGTTCTTTACAAAACCCATAAATGGGCAGAGAAATCTTTTGCAAATTTGCTAAGCCGCTCAGAAGAGATTGTTTCTGATGAAATGTCCAGTGATGAAGGCTTGGGTGATACTAAATGTGTGGTTTGTGGGTCTCCAGATAGGGGAGAAGTGATGCTAATCTGCGGCGACGAGGCCGGCGGCCGCGGCTGTGGGGTTGGAACTCACATAGACTGCTGTGATCCTCCTCTTGTGAAAGTTCCAGAGGATGACTGGTTCTGTTCCAGCTGCAGAGAGAAGACCCTGCCTAAGAATAACAGAGTAAAACGCAAGAAAAGCAACTGATTATCAGAACGCAATAAGGTAAATCCTATTGGTTTTTAGCTGTTTAAATAATATGATTCTGTTCATTAAACTAGTTTGTTCCTGAACTGAAATCCTTATAGGGTTTTTGGTTCCTTAAATTTGATTAGGTTGATTTGTTTAGCTTAAAAGTGCAGCCCTGTTTTAGTTCTAGCGTTGGAAAGTATGTGGCTTTGTACATATTTTGTTTTCCTGTAGGATTATTGTTTATATGTATACATATATCAGTGATGTAATATTAGGTTCATCTTTTTCCTTTATTTTAGATTTTTTTTTTTCAGGAATATGTTTTCATCTTTTTTTAGTTTATAAAATAGCAATTGAATAGTTTTGATTTCTACTTAATTATGTGCTAATCTATACTCGTCTCAATTGAATGATTTTCTTCATTATCTTGTAATTTCTTAGATATGTTTATATATACATATAATTCAATTAAATGTTAATTAAAATAAGAGCACATACTACAAATATTATTTTGACAAAATGCATACCATCATTAGTAAATATGAAGGAAATATGGTTCTAATATATTTATAAGGAAATTAAATGTGAAGCAAGTATGAGATTACAAAATTTTTATGCATTCTTAAATCAAATTGGATCAATCATCCTTAAAGGGTAGGTGTGATAAACATTTATTAGTTGAATTTGATTTAATTTTTATTTGCGATAATTTTTTTATTGTTTTAAAATAGTTTTCTTGTATAAAATTTTTAGTTCAAAAAAATTGTGTTAAAAAATTATTTTTAAAAATAGTAAGAAAATGGTTTCAAATAAAAAGCTAATAAAATCAAATGTCTAAAAAAGTCAACATCTTTTATTTTTTAAATGAGCTAAAATTTTTAACTAAATTATTCTATATTCTTAGAACACAACAAGCCATTTGAAAGAATGTGATTGCATATATTTGTTAAAATATAAGAAAATTAGATATAAATGTTATAAATGCAATTTAAAAAAAAAAAACATAAATTGTTATTTTTGTTCATCCCACACTTTGGCTTTATTATTTAAGAACCATAAATTGGATATTTAAATAATAATAAAATATAAAATCATAAATTAAATTTAAATTAAAATAATTAATAGTTTTATTTAAGTATTTATTTGGAGTCATAAAAAATGCTGGAAGATAGAACAGTTCCATCAACTACCGAACAAAAGCACTCATATTTGCGCTTCAGCCCAGTACAATATTTTAATTATAGATATAACCCTTAACTTTTTTTGCCAGGCCGGTTCACATGTGTGCCACTCACTGTTCAATAATCGTAACCACAAAGTCCAGTAAAGAAAATTAATGACGCAGATTAAGCACTTAAAATTTGCACCGTGCCTTTTGGACCACAGAGTAGGGAAAATGTGACGGGTGCGGAAGTGGGTGCATAGGTTCCTAATGCAGAGGATTGGTGAAGCGAGCGGGTAGCACGGTCATGGCTTTACGTTGAAGAGCTTCTGACAGGTGTTGGCATTCCACAAGCACATGTGTGGGCCCCAATATGATTTTCTTTTTTTGAAATTAATATTTAAAATTTATTGAAAAATTAATTTTAATATTTATGAGAATTTTTCGAAGCTTATGAAATTAATATATTAGATTAAATATGATAATAGTCATATATTAAAATTAAATTAATATGAGTTCATATTTATGAAACTTATCTCCTTAAAGTTGAAAGTGATTTCATAGTATGGGTTTTGAAATCATTTTTATTAAATGTTTTACTTAAAGTAATAATAGCATTGTTGGAATTTGATTGGATTTTTAATGATTACTTATCATTATCTTCATCATTAGTATTATTACATGTTGAAAAAATTATGGTTATAAGTGAGAGTTTTTTATTTTAGCTTTGCAGAAAGATCTTGCATAATAAGAACGCACGAGATACTAAATTTTATGTGAAATTTTTGTAAAAGAAACAAATATTACAAGGTATGGCTCAACTGCATAATTGTAATGTTCCACCATGCCAACTAGGTTGCAGTTCACTTTCTCCTCTACTGGTGAAGACAGAATTATAAGGTACATATTGTGAAACCCTTAAACTTTCAAATTATTTTTGAAAGAAAAAGAAATTTTTTTTTTGTGCAATTAGTATGTACGAGCCGTCTGTAGGAACTGAATAAAGTTTTGAAAATCTGTTTGGTTAGTACGTACAAACTGTCTGTACGAACGGAGTAAAGTGCATATTCGTCTGTATGAACCGTAAGTACGTCTGGACGAACAGAACAAAATTTTTTTGACAGAGCCCAACGTCTAGGGACGAAAATCCATTTTCGTTCGTACGATTATTATACAGAGGAGACGTCCCGGGAAGAACGAGAAGCATCGTCTGGACGATCGTAAATATCTTTTTAAGCATGATTTATTTTGTTTTGAAGAGAGAGAAAGAGGAGAGAGGAAGAAATTCGCATTTTGGGCATCTTTGGTCCGTTTTCGTCCGTCGCCATAGTTGGGAAAGTTGATCGACTCGAGGTAAGGCACATTATGCCTTTCTCAATTTTCAGAAATATGATTTTTGACGAATTTTCTGATTAAAATATTATTTCGGTTAGCATAAAATGGGTATAACTTTGCACCGATAAAACTTTTATAACGTAACTTTTGGTATGGCGTAGAAATTATGATTTTGCACGTTTTGAGTATTTTCTAGAAAAGTTTCACCTAATATTTTGAAATATGCAGGGTTTTTATTGAATAAAAAATTATCAGGATGTTGAAAAATATTGCTTCAGTACAATTAAAGTTTTGAAATGATGTTTAACACGATCTCTAGTAATTTGGTAAATTTCTGAAATTATGAATTTTTGATCCGTTGAATTTCTGTTGTCTGTCGTTATACTCTCTAACGATATTTTGATACGAATCTGATTTCTCTGAATATGATATGATTTGATGTTTGATGTGATTTGAATAATCTTAGAAGGGAGTTATAAGAGGTCGGAATTGTTTGAGATTCTGTCTATATCAGAGAAGGGAGACTTAAGGGGTCAGAATCCTTTGAGATTCTATCTGTGTCTGGGAATATGAAAATAAATTTTGATTTGATAATTATGTATATTTGATATGTTATGGTGCTGTAAGCACAAAGGGAGGCATAAGGGGCAAGAATCCTTTGAGATTCTGTCTATGTCAGGGAAGGTGGGCATAAGGGGCCAGAATCCTTTGAGAATCTATCTGGGTCAGGAAAATCTATTTTGAAATGTAATTTGAATATTTTCTAAAATCTATTCTAAACTTTGATTTGAATTTTGATTTGAATAATTTTGTGACATGAATTTGATTCAGCTCTTCTGTCTATATTATCTTATCTGTTCTGTACGAATATTTGTATTTTATTTTATTTCTGTTCTGTATGAATCTTTGATCTTTGTCTGATATTCTGATTTCTGTCAAGTATTTGAGTTTTGTACGGCTACTTTTTTTTTTGTACGGCTACTTGAATAAACTATTTTTAAAGCTTTTTGTGAGTATTTTGATATGAGAGTATTTGGAAATTTAGATCGGCTAGTGTAGTTTTGCTGAGCTGTTAGCTCACTGTGGTTATCTTCATGGTTTTCAGGTTCTGAGAAAGAGAAGGAAGTTTTGGATTAACCGTTCAGGATCTAATCTGAAGTCATAGGTATTTTTATACTTTTTATTTTTGTACACTCATGGTTGGTTTACTTTATGTTCTGTATCTTTTGTCTGAAGTAATGTACTATAATGTATATGCTTATTTTGAAGAATGAGAAGAAAGAAATTCATGGATGAGTTTTTTTGTATATTTGAATGTTTATAGTAGATCTGTGTTTTTTGTATGTCTGTGTATTTGAAGAAAACTCCAAAAATAAATTCTAAAGCTAGATCCTAAATTCATCCGTTGCGACTCAACGCGATGGGATTCGTTTCGATTAGGTTGGGTTGTGATAATTCGAGTGGTATCAGAGTAATAGTTTTGGAATTTGGATCGTAAGACAGAGCTATATGAATTAATCTGTAAGTATGGTGGGTAGTTACAATCTGTCTGGGTTTTTATTATTTTTGTTTTATGTGCATAGTTGCTTTATGTGTGATTATAGATCCGCCAGATCCGGATATGATTGATGGGCAGAGTGCTAGTCAGGCAGCTTCTTGTGAATAGTTCTGCTCTGGTAGTTGGCTCAGATACAGTTTCTTAGTTCGCTACATTGATAGCTCATATGATGAGCGAGACGCAGAATAGAGTTTCTACTGTTAGATCTGAAGAGGTAGATAGACATCTATAAATGTTTTTGAGATTGAAGCCTCCGAGATTTGAGGGCACTATTGAGCCCTGAGCAGCTGAGGATTGATTGAGAAGATTGGAAAAAATATGCAATATCCTTATAATAGAAAGGTACCAATAGCAATCTTTCTATTGGATGGGGAAGCAGAGCGTTAGTGGATGGGCTAATAGGAGGAGAAATTTCAGGGTAAGTTAAACTCTTTGATTTCTTGGGAAGAGTTTTCTGAAATCTTTAGAGTATGGTTTGTACCCCCTTCTGTAAGGCAACAAATGCGGGAGACTTTTCTGAGGTTGGTTCAGGGGAGTAAAATAGTTATGCAGTACGAGGCAGAGTTTACTGCTTTAGCAAGATATGCTCCTCAGTTGATTAGTACACTTGCGGAGAAGTGTTGTAGATTTCTGAGGGGACTTCAAGATAGTTTAAGGCAACCCCTGATACTATTTCATATTTCTGATTTCTCTGAGCTTATGGAAAGAGCTCGGCTGATAGCGAATGATCTGATGGCTACTCAGTAGATGTGGACTGCTAGTAGAAAAAGGTTCAGTGGTGATACTTCTGGTAGTGGTTTTTCTGAAAAGAAGAATAGATTTTTATCTGGAGATTCCAAGCGAAGTGGAAAGTAAATAACTACTACAGTCTCTGGTAGTGGCAGTGTAGCCAGGTCTGGTTCAGTTAGTGGGGCACATGTGTGACATAATTGTGGACGACGATATTTTGGCCAGTGTTACAGGATGACTGGTCAGTGTTTCAGATGTGGTCAGCCAAGACATCAGATAGTAGAATGTCGGCAAGTCATATTTGACTGACGATTTGAGTTTAGATCAGAGAGCATTATCAGGCCAACATGAAGGCCGATGACAGTTCCTCCCCGTACTGTTTTTGAAGGATCCTTTGGTAGAACTGGTGGTTCGGGTTCAATGGCAAGGAGACCACCTGGTGGTAATCAAAGGGAGCTTAAAAGTTCTGTAGCTCCAGCTCCAGTTCAGCCACGTGTGTACAATTTGAATCAACAAGAT